GGACAGGGGAGTGCCACAACTACTACAAAGAAGATTTTTCTAAACGGTCCAAATTAATTTTTGCATGCAGTTGCCCGACACGCATACGGAAAAAGGTCTGCGAAAATCGCTATTTTCTCATCTGGCTAGTGTAACCGCATGCAATTCTCTAAACCAACCACATGCGAAAATATTTTTTGGTGAAAAAAATAAAAATCCAACCAAAAAAAACCTAGCCATCCCACCACGCGTCGGCTGCACACTCTCGCCGCCGTCATTTCCGAGGGTGGGGGTGGCGGATCTACCCGCCGGCCACTCGCACCCACCACCGCTCGCCGCCATCACCTCTAGTCGTCGTCGTCGCTCGCTGCTGTCCGCAGCTACCACACACCGGCGCGCCCACCCGCTAGCCATCACCACCTCCCACCTTCGCCGACGGATCTGCGCGGATCCGGGCGAGGAACGGCCACCGCCATCGGATCCGAGCCACCGCCGCCGCCGGATCCGGACGGGGGACGGCTGTCGCTGCAGCCATTTTGGCCGTCGTCACTTGCCCCACTGCGGCAGCCCAAGGTCAAGGGCGGCGGATCTGTGACCGCCAACCCTCTCCACTGCTGCCGTCGCGCCTCCCTGCCGCCGTCATCACTCCCGCCATCGCTCGCCCAACTACCATCCGCCCGTCATGGTCACAGGAAGAGAAGATAAAATTGCCAGTGCAAAATTTTGAAGTGTTGGAGAGGGAAGAGAATCCTTAATAGGTCCGTATGCAAAAATCGATTTTCACAAGCAAAAATGAGCATATGGCCTCTTAAGAGGTTCGTATGCAAAAATCGATTTTCAGAAACGTAGGGGAAAATATTGTTTACTATGGTAATCAATTTTCAATGATTGATATGTGCACACCTGCTCTAAAATCACATTATCCATACAGAAGCAATTAATACTAACTTAAAACCCATGGAAATTTTATCTTCTTCATACATATATATAAAGTTCGTACTGAAATCATTCAAAGGTTACTGTATGTTGATGTGCCATCAATATTGAAAGGGAACAGCAAAATTTGAAGGCAGGAATGCTGCTGAAATTTCTTGGTGCAGCTTAAGAAAAGTCCCATCTGAACATGGTCCTTGTTATGATGATGTAGTTCAGTCCAAGTGTTTGCTCGAAATAATAATTAACTGTGTGATTAGGCTAATGTTAATTTTGCGAGAGGGGAGTATTTAATTAACCTCTTGATTTCTTCCACCAACAAGAAATTAATAAGCAATCAGGCTTCTTTTGCATCTGTTAATCACTAGCTAGTACAGCACAGCTAGCCTGCGCTTTGGATTTTGGTGCCACCTGAAGCAAGAATTAATAAATCAATTTTAAATGAATTTTCTTCAAAATTTAATAAGTTTACAGTCCAATAATAAATTCAGTGAAGCGTTTATTTTCTATTTTCTATTAATTTGTTGTTATTAAACGATGTAACGCTGTACATGTATTCGGCGAAAGTACGTTTCCTTAATGCTAGTTAAAGCGCACTTCAGCTATAATTAAGTCGTTTGCACTATATGAGCAGTATGATAAAATTAACTGAAGTTAAGCGCATATATATTCAGTCTGAATGAATGCGTATCATTTTAACTTAATAGACCAGACAGTTTTGAATCCCTCTAATGGACTCTCGGGCCCTGATGCCATGGAGACGCGAGTTTATTTTTTTAATTGGTTAATTTAGCTTAGGATTAATTAAAATTACGGGGTCCTTTTGTCAGACAAATAAACACACACACCAGGGGCATCTCCTTAATATATAGGGACAGTCACAAAGCATGACTGATTGACTGGTGTCTTGCTCGCTGGATGGACTCATAAAATCTCGTCTTAATTTTGGGGAATATCCGATCTCACACGAAGGGGTTCTTGATATTGATTAATTAAAGTTTAAAACATACTACATATAGCAGTATTTTTTTTATTAGTTATCACACAATAATATTGGAAGATGCAGCAATCCATAATTAATCTTCTGGTCTTATTTTGTGTACGTATATACAGCCTGACGAATATAAATGTAATTAGGGATGTGCTTCTATGCTCCGAAAAAAAAAACTTGCACGAAAGTTAAAGCTAATCAGCGGCTGTGATTAGAAGCGAGATTAGCACTTAATTATCATTAGCGAGGGGTAATTTCGTCAAGATTTTCGAGCGCATATCCAGCCCAGTCCATCTGAAGCGATCCCCACCCCCACCGGTCCACCACGGCGCCGCTCCTCAACCGCACCACCACGCCGCCTCCACTCCCTCCTCCCCTCTCCTCTCCGCCGCTGCTCCGCTCAACGCCGCCTTGCCGCCCCAGCGCTCCGCTCTCTTCTTCCCCTAGGCTGGCCGCTCAGCCCAGCGCCGCCCGGCTTGCTGCCTCTCCATCCTCTTCGTCCCCTCGTCTCGCCGCTTCCCCTCCCCTGCGCCGTGCAGCCCGGCGCACCCCCTTCATCCATCTTACATGCGTAGTTTGCTTGATGAGTGGTTTGCCCCATGTTAGAAGCTTGGTATTGCAGCAGAACATGGCTATTTTGTCAGGTAAACATTTTGAGTACCTTTTTTTTTCTTCTTAAATCTGTTTTTATTTGCATTTTCTCCACACACTATTATGCAATTGTACAGTTGAATTATTCAGGAGTATAATGAACTGTTTATGTTCTCTCAGATGGAACAAAGCAGCTGAATGGGAATCAAGCTATCCAAACCATGATTTTGAGTGGAAGCACATCGCTGAACCGATCATGCAAGTTTACACCGAAACAACTGATGGGTCCTCCATAGAGCCAAAGGAAAGTGCTCTATTATGGCATTATCTGGATGCAGACCATGACTTCGGTTCCTGCCAAGCAAAGGAACTACTGGGTCATCTTGAAAGGGTGCTATCAAATGAACCTGTTGTTGTGAAGTGTGGTCATTACATTGTAGAAGTCAAACCACAGGTCTATACCATTTGAATTTATTACTACATTTTTTCACTTTCAACTCATTATGTCCAGCTCACACTAAATGAAATACATTACTTGTGCAGGGAGTTAGCAAGGGTCTTGTTGTGGACAAGGTAATTCACAGATTGATGAACAACGGGAAGACGCTGGATTTCATAGTGTGCATCGGTAACGATCGATCTGATGAGGACATGTTCAAAAGCATCGACAGCATGACCTCCAGCTCCGCATTTCCTGCAGTTCCAGAGGTCTTTGCCTGTTCAGTTGGTCAGAAACCCAGCAAAGCAAAATACTATGTCGACAATGCTGGTGAAGTAGTAAGATTGCTCAAGAATGTAGCCGGCATTTCGTCGCACCGGGAGGCCATCAGCCATGGACGTGTGATCTTCAGGGATGTGATCGATTATGTGGACTGAACCACCTAATAACATCCAAACTTGTGTACATTCCAATGACTTCATCTAGATTTGACCGAAAGCATGAATCATCACCACCATTAGGACAACTACAGGAGTGCAAGCGGAAGCTCAACATTTTTAGTTTAGGTGATGTATACTCATATGTAGGCAATTTTGATAGTTGAGGAGGTTCTTGCTGGAGAACTGCACTGTGAAAGAAAAGCCCCTGGCTTTGAATAGCCATCGTCCCATCGACTTGTTTCACTTACCGGTTATTACCAGTTGCCAGCGTTTACCTAAATGGCTGAATGACTGAATCCAATCTCCTGCTTCACACTGATGATTGTGTTGGGATTTTGGAAATTATATCTTAGAGAAAGTTGCATTATGCCATCATGGAAACCTTCTAACTCTTATTTGCTCCTCCTCCAAAAAAAAAAGATAACTTGTATTTGCTCATGCTACTTTTCTAGACTTAGTGCTTGGTCTGACTTCTGAAGATTGGAGAGACCTGAAGGCATTGTTTGAACAGTATCAATTCGTGAGATCGAGTCACACAGCCTTACTGCATTGTGTTCTGATGACCGGTAAAAAGTCTCTTATGTTCAGGTTGGCTTTCATTCTCAAAATATCCTCCAGCAAGATGCCCATTGCTAACTATAGTAAGAAAACATCATACTTCTCTGTTGATTTTATGCTTTTTTGCAACTTCAGGTGACTGAAAAATAAATAAAGAGCAAAGACAAACAAATTCAAACCAAACTGCAAAAAATAGACCTTGTTTTGGCTTGTCAAAATGTTCTGAGCGTATGGTAGTGCGGAGCCTAGACTCATGATGTATTAATAACCATTCCATGGCCATACCATAGTATAGGGCTTGTTTTGTTTGAAGCCAATTTTTGCTCTACTAAAATCTTGTAGTGCCAAAACCTTGATAAGTTTAGACACTACCAAATTGGGTAGTATTGAATTTGAATTATTGTGGGCAAAATTTGGTAGCAAACCAAACATACATTTGCTACTGTTGAAGTTACCAAAATTTTGGTAGTGCAATAAGTTGGTACTAAACCAAACAAACCCTAGTTCAAGTGACACCGTAGAGTATACAAGTTCCATATGTTAACAGGCTATCAAAGCTTTGACACGAGAATAACAGCAATAACCATCATTACATGAGCCTACCATGCCCTGATCACACTTATACATGACACCAGCACTTAAGACACGAGCACATATCAGATCTTGTTATCTTACTTACATTCGATAGGGCAGAATATACTGACACAATAGGTTTTTAGTCAGGCACTACTACAGCAGAATAGCAGATAGCAATATGGAGACAGTACACCCAAGCATCTGCTTCAGATGCCCTTAACTTCTCATCTGCTCTGGCAATAGTTGCTTCTTGTACCACTGCTTGCTCTCTAGCTTTCCCTAGCTCAGTGCGCCACATATGAGCCTCCTGAAGTGCAGCATCTCTTTCTTTCAGCAATTGATCCTTCTCTTTGCTCAATCTAATTACCTTTTCTTCAGACTGTCATAGCAGTAATATCCATAGACCATTTGGAGCATGAGAATTCAGAGCATTCAAAATTCAGATATTAAATAAAACTATTTACCTTGAGCATGGATTGTTCCATTTGTCTTTCTATTGCTTGTAATGTCTTAGGCGCTCAATCTCTGAACATAGAAGTATTCTATGTTCATCCATCGTATGAGCTGCAGAAGCAGCAGCTTCCGCAGCCTCTGCAGTCTGTGTTAATTTATCTGCTATTTCCTTAATTGTAGCATCCTGAGCACGAATATTGTTGGCCAAATTCTGCAACTCCTCATCTTTCACCCGAAGAGTCTCCTATGGAATATGAAAAGTAGAAAATTGTTAAAATAATGCTCGTGAATAAAATCAACAATAACCAACCACGTGCCTAGCAGCACATGCATGAAAATTGAAACCTAACAAGCAAAGATGTAACCATCTTAAATGTTTAGCAACGAGAACATTGTTGAACAAATCATACCAAACAGTGTAAATTTATGTCATACAATATTACAACAATTTTCAGACTCTCAATAAGGGCCAAATCTTGTCTACATATAATTAACCAGGTGTGTTCTGTGGCATGAATTTGCTACTAGTTTATACAGGATATATTAATCTGACAATCTAGCCTGAGGCAACCAACCTAATATTACACTAGCACAGATTGGCAGCAACGATGTAAAGCATTCATTTGCCCGTTCTCAATATGTGTTTGTAGTAATGTGCGCAAACAAAGAGAAATACTAGTGTTATGCACATAACATAAACACACCAAACTCAAATCATTTGTACACAACATGAAACATCAACTTACTCTTCTCGCTTTGCCTCTGGACAACGGCGAATGTCATGGCCTGGTTGGCGACAACGACTGCACAATCTTGGCCGATGCTCATCCCATCCTTTCATGCTCCTAGGTGCACCCTTGGTGGCTACACAGATGGGATCTAAAACAGAACCTTCAGGCCTATGTGATGTTTCACCAACCTCGTCAACATGCGTGTGCTTCTTGGTTGCTGCATTAGAAGAACTTATTTTTGATAGTTGACTCTCCATGTATTCTTTCACCTCCCCAAACAACTCACAACTATTAGATGCCAAGTCAAAAAGTTCGGACCCTCGAGCATTCAATTCATAATAATTCTTTTGTTTCTCTGTCCAAACATGCAAATCACTTTTTCGAACAGAAGGAAGATCGGCTTTTGCATTCTTCGATAGGCGCTGCAGCACACAACACTTTGGGATTTCCTTCACCTTCACCTCCAGATGCTTCAATACCGAGAGAATATGCTTGCAAGGGATCCCTTCACGCTCCATCTTTCGGCAACTGCACCTAATATCATGGTTTCCTCCAATGCGAGTGTAATCAACATAGCATTTTCTCGCACTTTTTTGCTCAGATGTCACCATGTACCTCTCACCCTTACCATCTTGTACTACATCAACATGGAGACCATCTAACTTCTGAAGCTCCTTTTGAACTAGATCAAAATTTGCAGATGTGAAAATATGCCCTGCAGATTCTTCGATTTCAGGACTATCAGTGATAGTAGCAGGCCATGATTGAGATGCTTTCGAATCAAACTCAGCCTCTTTTTCACGCAATTCAGAAACACATACCTCATAATGCTCTACTAAATCAAGCAAAGACATGTAATAGTCTAGATGCCTATGAAGGCATGAATTCAAGCTCTCACTCCTCTGGTTGCTTTTCATGCCCAAAAAATATGTGTTAGTCAAGAAAGCAGCTGCCCACAATTTCCTCTTTCTATACATCCTTTTCAACCAACCCTTGTTTCTAGAGGTTCTGTACTTTAAAACAAAACTACTCCACTTTTCTTCAAATTCAGCATGTGAGCAGGCATCATATATAAAGGACCTGAATATCTTTATTTGTGAGAAATGGAGGTGCTTATTGATACCTCTCTCGATATGCCACGAGCATACACGATGGTCGGTATCTGGGAGCACTTGGCGGATTGCTTTCATCATTGCATTATCGCTGTCCGTTATTATAGACCTTGGTTTCTGCTGGCACATTGCTCTCAAGAACACCTGAAGAAACCAAGTATAAGATTCAACACACTCGTCGGACACAATACCACAGGCAAAAATAGTGGTTTGACGATGGTGGTTGAGCCCAACAAAGGGAATAAATGGCATGTTATATTTGTTCATCCTTTGTGTGCTATCAAACACAACATCACCGAACGATTGATAGTCCATGCGAGACTGAGCATCACACCAAAACAGATTTTTCAGACGACCTTCATCATCAACTTGGTACTCATAGAAAAAACCAGGATCCTTGTCCCGCCTTTTCTTCATAAGTTCTAAAGTTGCACTTGCATCACCTTCCAAAATTCTAGACCTCTTATACCTTGATGAATAATTGTACAAGTCCTTTTTGACAAATCCCACCTTATCGTATCCTCCATACTTGCACTTCATGACCTTCATTATGACATTTTTCCGAATACCAATAGATTCTAGTGAATGTATTTCAGATTTTTGGAAGTCCTTAATTTTCCTATGAGACCGAAGAAATGGAGTTTCGTCGTGGCTCGTCAATGGGTGGTTATGGTCATCAATAAAATTGTCTACAAACCAGATACCACGTTTCTTATCAAGCTTGATGCTAAGACTAGCAGCGCATTCCATTCGAGTCAACGCTCTTTCCCTTCTTGCACGATCCTCAGGTTTTACCAAACTAGGATCTCGAATCCCCTCCTTAGAGCAAACAAAACGCCTGTATTCGATGGCTCCAACTCTTTTTTCACGCCTCACAATTCCTTCCTCACACTAAAACCTTTCCTTTTAGCATAACTATTGTAGAAGTTGTAACATTCATCTTCAGTCTGAAAATTCATTTGAACTATATTCCAGTACTCATCTAGAGCTACATTATCTTCCTCAACGCTGTGGAACACATTGTGACTGCTACTAGGATCATTAGGCTGAGATTTATTGTGGTCTCCCTATTATAAAAAAAAGTATTTAACCCCAATACTATGAGCTAACGTGATAGAAATCTAAACTACAACATGTATAAATAATTGCATAAATCCAACAAATAAATGATAAGCACTCTATGGACATGTGCAGATAGTGAACTAACCAAGGAACATTCAGCATAGTCATCATCATTTGTATTGGACGAATTGTCCATGTACGAATCAGTTGAACAATCCTTGCCACATTTAGCATCATCTTTATTGCCTGTGCCACGAAACTCACCCATCCTACCAAGTAAACTCATTTCATTATTTGGACAGAAAAAATTTGCCTTGTATGCTGCTAGTATGGCTAAACAATATCAGTTCGCTAAACCACCATGCATGCAATGGAAATTCACATAGGCAGGCAGCTAGCAAGCCAGGCTAGGCCAAAACATAACACTGATATGGGTAAACCCATTGAACTAGGTTTCTACAGCCTTAAACTGTTAACCCCAAGTTAAGAACTGTTAAGAAGCACTATCTACTATGCAAGTGGTGTAGAGGCAAAATAGATGGAAAATACAAAAAATTTCTAGACAACACAAACTAATACTAGGAAATTAATAACCGTGATTAAAATGGTACTTAAACAGCCTTAAAAACTATAAAACAACTAACTTGCCCAAAACCTTGACAGTTGGGAAACAATCGGTGAATAACATTTAGCTAATACTCCCTCCATTCCAAAATATAAGGCACAACCACCCTTAATCCAAAGACTAAGAAATAACTATTATCATCTTGTAGTTTGGATCATCCTAATAAATACTAATGCATGCATTCAATAGGATTAGATAACATGAGAGTGGAGGATTTAAAAAGTAATAATTTAATGGAGAAGATGTCATAGTTAATTGCATACTTGCATATATGCCTTATATTATGGAACATCTAAGAAAAGTGGTTGTGCCTTATATTATGGAATGGATGGAGTAGGTCATACCATAATTAGCTATCGACAAAGAACAGTCAAGGAATCAAATCAAGCTATATACTCCAAATATGAGTAGATTGGAGGCGAGTCATCATATTCTATACAGTGAAACAAAACAAATATGATGGGAACTGAAACTATACCTTCAGAAAAGGTCTTCTGATGGAACAGGAAATTGTTTCACATCAAACCTGTAGTCCAAATCAATTGTTAGGTTAATGCTCAATCGACATCACACACGAGATGGGGCACATCAGAAATAGCAAGCGTACCGGTATGTTGCAATTCGGAGGAGCCTCGGCGGAGGAAGGGGGCTGTTCATATCTCAATCCCGTGCATCACTCCAGTTGTCAGTGGCGGCTCCGGCGTAGCGCCGTGGGAAGGAGGCGCCTGTGGATACTGCGGCAAGCCGGCGGTGAGCTGTGAGATGGATGAAGGGGGTGCGCCGGGCTGCACGGCTCACGGGCGGAGGTGACGATGGTTGGGCGGCGCCGCCGACGCGCGGGTTGTGGAGGAGCGATGGCGGCGCCGATGGTGGCGGAGGGAGGCAGGAAGCGGCGTAGGGAGGGAGCCGGGTGGCGAGGCGGCGTTGCGAGGGGAAGAAGAGGGCAGAGCAGCGACGGCAAGGCGAAAATCGGCGCGGCGGTGCGGTTGAGGAGCGGCGCCGTGGTGGACCGGTGGGGGTGGGGATCGCTTCAGGTGGACTGGGCTGGATATGGGCTCGAAAATCTTTGGACGAAATTACCCCTCGCTAATGATAATTAAGTGCTAATCTCCCTTTTAATCACAGTCGCTGATTAGCTTTAACTTTCGTGCAAGTTTTTTTTTGCGGAGCATAGAAGCACATCCCATGTAATTAAGTACAAAATAAAATGACATAGCTGATATTTGTACATAAGTGTTCCTTAACAGTTTTATTCTTAATATTAATGCTAGTATATCCATGGTGCTCTGGGTTTTCATCTCTGTGGCACAAAAACTAATGCACTGACAATTACAACGTGATGGATCATTTTTTAATTGACTTTCCATGGGTAGACATGATCGATTTCTCGTGCTACCTCCGTCCCAGAATATTTATCACTTTACTTTTTTTAACTTTTAATTGTTCGTCTTATTAAAAAAATTATAAAATTATTATTTATTCTATTTGTGACTTGCTTTATTATTAAAAAGTACTTTAAGTATTACTTATCATTTTTTATATTTGCACTAATTTTTTAAATAAGACGAATGATCAAACATTGTAAAAAAATGTCAAAGCGACCACTAATTTGGGACGGAGGTAGTACTTACGTGTATATCGCACAATTCTGATGTGGTCAATCAAATTCATTTTGTTCTACAATATATATTTCCGAGCGCTGTAGCACCTTCTATCCAGATCTGTTACCAACGGTACAATCGATCTCTTCGACCGTTTCCTTTTGCAGTTCTGCAAAAGGCTGGTAACGTTCGTTTGGTAACAGCGAGGTCCAGATATATGTCCTGTGTGTGGTAGAATAAAGAACAGTGAGATTTTATGCATGTAACTGATCAGAATTGGTTTTTACCGTTGGCATATATAGCTCACTGTGAATCCACACACAACAAATTCCAGAAGCTAATTGTTAGCTGAACCGGCTGCCGTACGTCTCGACAATTTACATAAACTAGATTCTAGGGCGCATCAATGGCGCCACCTGTACATAACTTTTTGTTACTGTACTGTTGATCAATTTTGAAACACTACTAAAAAAACCGGTTTTTGAATGTGTTAATTTGTTGGCTCAACTACAACGATTTTCTAATTTCATCATCATTACATATTTGGCTTTTAGCATGCTACTTTATATTACATATATCACATCCACGAAGTGCGCCTTAAGGTCTAGTACAGTTAAAGTTCAAAAAGTGAATGGTGCATCCATCAAGATCAAGTTGATGGAAGGATGAACACTTGCATTCGTGTTACCATGCTGGCAGTGGCAGGCACATGAATGGAGCAAAATCATCAATGGAGACCGCAAGTTCATGTGTTCTTTGGTAGGGAGGATGATGCATCTGCAATGCACGTGTTTAAATTGTTTACATCAACGAACTTAAGAATGAAAGAAAAACATATATAATGATTATTTTTCATATAGTGGATCGAATTCATTCCAGCCTCTGTCGTCTGGCCTGGATTCGTGAGGATTGCTGATAGCAAAATCCTTTCTTAATTTGGTGGTACCGAAAGGCGATTGTTTTCATATGTTTGTACCTTTATTTTTCTTCTTATGAACTTTTACTTGCTCCGATTTCACACAAAGAAAATCTTATGTCTGAAAGATAAAAGAAAACCAGGGAAAAAAAAGCTTGCACTAGGTCGACTAGCTAGACGACCCTAATTAATTATTAATCATTTTAAATTCTTGCATACCAATAAAAATCATATCACATAGGATTATTGTATTGGGATATCATATCGAAGGCTCAAAGCAAAGTAATGATGATCAGACATGGAAACGAAAACGCAGCCGGCCGGCAGCGAGCAAAACGGCATCAGTCGCCGCCGACTGAGAACACCGGCAACATGGACATGAATTCGAACAGTACAAAAATATAGCTTGCTTTGCTCATGCTTTAATTTGCTTCTTCTTTCCAATTTCCACACAAAACCTCACGCCCTCTCGATCCTGTTCCCCATTTACCCCAAAACCCTAGCCGCCCGATCTCCCCTCCCAACCGCCGCCGCCCCCTGCATCATTGCCGGCCGCTTCTCGACCTCGCCGCCCGGTTGCACGCAAGGTAGGTACATATATATATACCTACTTCCAAGAGCCTATAGATAAGCTAATTCATACAGTAAATCTACAGTGATTTCATTTCTTGTACTGTGGATATTCATCTTCTCCAAGATCGGGCTTCGATGATGGCGGGCGGAGATCGACCCGGCGGCGCTGGCGTACATCCGCCACCTAGTGGAGGAGCTCAAAGACACAATGTTCGAGGACCATTTCAGCCATATTTATTTCTTGCCAACCGTTTCAGCTGGTATTGGAAATTCCTAGTAATAGATCGAGGATCGGAAGAGCAGCTTGGTGGCTGACTGTCGATCAACCGCATGCCTCTATTTGATTTTGCGGACAAAGTGGCAGGGATGAATGGGAAACACACTTTCCCTAAGAAAAATGGGAAACACACTTTCCCTTAAAAAAATAGAAAATACACTATTTAGGTTAACATCGTAAATCTTTAGGTTAGTCTCGTATTGGCCAGAAAAGATGCCAACAGTACGTCTAATCCAATGATCTCATTTCTTCTACTACCATAGTAGGCCATAGATCTCGTCTTCTCTAACATCTAGTTTTTTCTGAGTGTAGAATTGGCAAATTGGAGTTGGTGTGCCTGGATATATAGTGGCCTCCACAAATTAATGATTCAACGCTTTATTTATTAGGATATATGATGAATATATTCATGATTAGAGAATAATTTTAATTTTTCACAAGGGTCGATCTATTTATTTGTAATGAAACATATTCCTTTGAATATATATATATACATATATATATATATACACATGTAAAATATATTTCTCTGTATTTATGCATTTTACATATTTTTAATTTGAGCAGATTAATTTAAAAAGGTAATGTACACCTAAAACACCGAATCAAAAACACAATTGTCAATCACAACGTTGCAATACTTATGTACACGTTAAACATTAACCATTGCAACGCATGATTACTTTTTCATGGCCTTACTGACAGAGGCGAAGCTAAAACAAAAATTACCGTATGTCACATATATATAATGCTAGTAATACATATATAATGAACTGACACTCCGATAATCAAGCACTAACAATGGGAATGCATGTTTGATTTTATTGAAATACTTTTTATGACTAATCTATATATATGGTCTCCGTATTTCTAAAACAAATATTTTAGATATTATTTACAGTGAAAATTTTCAAATTTTAACAATAACCATGTTCAAAAGAACAAGTATTATCAACCCAGAGGAAATATTGCACATCTCTAACTAGGGGAAAAAATAAAACGACTATACATCACTCTTGAACAAACACTTCAAGTAAGGATTTTTATTATTCCATTTTCATTGACATATATCAGTTGATACATTTCAAAAGTCTAAGATAACTGCAAATTAAAGTGACAACAAGCGAAGTAATTAAACCTAAACATTTTTATGATACTATTTTTCCGAATCCAGAATCGCGCTACGCCATGTACTCGCGGAGGACGCTCGCGCTCTCCTCGAAGCGGTCGCCCCCATCGCGGACGACCTGCACGTCGTCGCGCCAGCTGCCGGCGACGTGAGGGACGGCGTGGACCACGGCATCCGCGGCCTCGAAGCGTTGCGTGGCCACCTCGAGGTTCCAGTTGAGGGGGGCGAAGGACGGCGCCATCCTGCCCAGCGCCATCTCCAGCTCGGCCTCCCTCTCGTGCGCGGCGCCGAGCCACGGGAGCAGCGACGCCAGCGCGGCGGCGCCGCGGGCGAGGCTGTCCCGGGTCGTCGCCGGGGCGCCCACCACGGCGAAGATCTGGGCGGCGATCTGCCCCTTGGCCTGCTGCGCGGCGGCCAGCTGCGCCCTCTTGGCCCGGAAGGCGATTTGGAGGTCGGTGATGACGTCGTTCACCGACATCAGCTCGTCCATGGCGGCGTCGGCGGCCTCCTGCAGCTCGAGGCGCCTCACCCGTGTCGCGTGCCGCCTGTACGCCGCCAGCGCAGGGCTCCCCTTGCGGAGGAGCTCCTCCAGGGTGTTGATCGCCGACACGACCACCTCGGGGACGCCGGCGAGCAGCGACGGCTCCGGCCGGAGGCGGAACAGATCGGCATCGCCGTCGGCGGCGAAGATCTGAACGTCGCTGGCTTGGTGATAGCACTTCCCCTCGAGCCGCTCCACGAGATCCCGCAGGTAAGCCACCGTCGCCGGGTCGACCGCCGCCGCGTCGAGGCGAATCACGGGTGATGAAGCTGGCGCCGCCATGGATGGTATCGTCGGAGATCGAGAGTTCGAGACAACAACCTAGCTTGCAGCAAAAAATCAGCAAGATCGGATGGAGTGAATCGATCCCCACTTCCCTGTATCTCTCGATCCAAAGCAAAATCGAAGCTGGCCGAGATGAAGGGACAACGTACCTAGGTCGTCGACGGCGGCCGGAAGGGAGCAGCGGTGGGGGAGAGAGATGGGCGGCTAGGGTTTGGGCGGAATGGGGAATGGAGTGGTGGGGGGAGGAGGGAATTTAAAGCGGGGAGGACACGGAAAGCGAGGGATGTGTGTCAGGATGATCGAAGCCAGCTCTAGCGCGGCGCGGGCGGGATTTTTCACGTTTTGTCGGTTTTCACTTTTCATCATCATAGGTCCTCAGCCCTACGATCTTGCGTTGAGATTCGTGCTATACTACGGAGGTCGTCTAGTTCTACGGTTCTACCTCTCCTCGCTCTCTTCTTCAGTTCTTCGATCTTTCTATCTATCTCCAATTCTCCGTCGATCTCTTCCTCCAATTCTCGAGCGTTACCATCACATGTCGGCCGGAGGGTGGCGGCGGGGCTAGCCGGAAACGGTGGAATGGGACGGGGATGAGTACGCATGTCTCCGGCGAGCTCGATCTCAGCTAGCCGAGCTCGATCTGTGATCATGTCTGTCTGTTCTTAATTTCAGCTAGCCGAGCACTTGTGGTTTTTACTTTTTCTCACTTGCAGGAAAATAATCATGTACGTACTACACTTAAGTTCTTAATTTCTCTCGGTTTAATTTGTGGGCGGGTTAAGAATTACGGAATAATAATTAACAAGGCTTTCTATGTGCTTTATTAATTAATCTTTCATCTTTTCGAATGTATGATATACTTCACCTTTCTGTAGAATGAGGCGAGGTATAATACGTATACAAGATCAAAGAACATATCGCAATCGATCCATAACTTCAGACTTCGCGATCAGGGTCCTCTGGTGTGTATTCCAGAATAAATTGATTACGAACAGTCAGGTTAATATATATGGGGCTACATTCAGGCGTAGTGTTTTTCTGTTGCTGAATTCTGGAGACAGTAGTGTTTGACCTCTTTTTAAAATTTAATTTCTATCAGGTAATTGAAGGTAGGGGCCGCAACTAATCATAATTTGTATACCTAAGACGACATATACAGCTCACTAGGCGAACCCATAAAAATTACTGGGGATCCTCGTGATATAATTTTAGTCCAATTTTGATTAATGTAACGATTATTATGATTAAGATAACTAGAAATAAATAAAAAGCTCCGGGTAGTTAAACTGCCTTACAAATCCAAATCCCATACATAATTTCATAAGCTAATAGTTCGATTTATCCGTTGCCATCTGATGTTTGAATAAATTAATTTCTCCCGCACCGTTTGTTTTGTCATAAAAACATTACTCCCTCCGTCCCATACCATATGGGGTTATACCCTTTTGAAAAAAAAAATAGCAAAACGATATGTGATGATACAAATTGAATATGTTAGGGAATAAAGAAGTTCAAAAGGTAGTAGGTTAGGGAATAGACAATTACAAAAGTGGGTAGGTGGGGAATAAAGTAACATCAAAGTTGGTAGGTACAAAGACTAAAGTACTATCTCATGAACCCAAAATATATCGCTTATATTATTGTTTTTTTAAGGTAAAAGGCACAAGATCTTGCTTTTAGTATAGAAAGCAAATGTGTTTTTTCGGTTGATGGCATACATTTTGTCAGCGCAACATGGGGCATACAGATCGCCCAACAAATATTCGGACAACTAGCAACAAATGTAGTACATGTGAGTCCATGACGACTTCCATCATTTCGCAAGGCAATTGATCGACTTGCGCTAGATCTTATTTAACTTGATGGACACATGTTAGTACTGAATTAATTAATGTTCATCCAGGGTAGTGAGGGTAGATATCATTTTTCATGGTACATCTTAATAAGATATGGAATAGCTGTTTCTAGAAAATAGAACATACACTCAGTACCTTTATGATTACAGCTTCAAACATTACCAAGTAATAAGGACCAGATTTTCTGAATTTTCATCAATGAATTATTCATGGCATTAGTCTCGTCCCAAACAAATTAATGGCAGCGGTGTGAGCAGTGAGCAAAATCATCGTTGTTTTGCATTATTACTGTCATGGAATGCAAAATTTCTTGAACATCTGCTGATAGCTAGATATATAGCTAGCAAGATACACACCCTTTTTCCTGTCAACAATCATATGCGCGCATGGTTAGTTAGAGGGAAGATCGAGATACCAGTTAATTGATCGATATTAAATTTGGATAACAAAGTTCTCACCAGAATTATATCTATGCACATCGTTATCCAAAGAAAACATAGAAGACATACAAAATTAATTTCCTTAGGGACTTCATTTTAGTTAGTACTATATGTAACAATATTGTCGTTACAACATGCATATGAGATGCTGAACAGCAAGTTAAAAGTTTCAGGGTTTAATGAGTGGAAATGATTCAGCTGTGTTGATAGATATATGGAACATATTGGCTCTGATTTACACAAAGAGCTGCCACCATTGATATGATATTAATTTAATTAAGGCAATACTATATTTCAAATTATATGTGAATGTAAAATTTTGATAGGGGGTTAAGAACCACCTATCCCACTAATGCAAACTTACTATACAAGACCTGTTTGATTGTGGAGCAAGCAATCCTATATGAGTATATATGACGGATTTTTCTGTTCATTATTATTTCACCTTTCAGAAAAATTATTAAAAGAAAATCATATGGTTTAAAGAAACAGGGACCATGTTCAGAAGTTACTTTTCTTTGGCTGCGCGAACAAGTTTCTTTTGTCTATTCCCTGCTATATATTGATGCCATCCCCATACACAGTAACCTTTATCAATGAATAATTTAGTATGAACTATATATATCCTTTCAAAAAAAATAGTATGAATGAACGAACTAATTTCTATGTTTAAAAGTTGAAACTGCTTCTGTACTGATAATGTGATTTTAGAGCACAGGTGTATGCGCATAAATGAAGTATATGCAAATTCTATTATTTGATTCGTATGTACGTATCTGAAATGGGCAATACTTTCACGCATTTTGCACCTTTGCTACATTAATTTCACTTTTGCTGTTGCTGAAATATTCTGCATGCTAGTAGTGTTTTTCCATTTTATTTATTTAATTTCTCTCAAGAAAATTGAATGCTGGGGGCAAGTTTTGTGCTGCTGATTATTATTTGTGTTACCTAGGACATATACAGTTCACTGACAGATCCAAATAAATCCCAAACATAGTAAGCTAACCGTTAGCTGTATCTCTGTTGCCATTTCCACATTTACATAAATTGATTTCTCCTGCCATTTGTTTAGTCATCTGAAATACATGTGCATATAAATGAGGATTTCCAACATTTTGCTGGGCAATTGGTTTGCTTCAGATCTGATATTTAACTTCAACTGGTATAAATATCCATCATGTTTTAGTAATTAAATAGCATGTTCGTCCGGGGTAGATCTATATATCGTTTTTCACGGTGCATCATGATAAGATAAGAAATAGCTGTTTCCAGAAAATATATCATATATTCAGTACCTTCTTTTTATCTTTCTCCTTTTGATTTTTATTAATTCCTTACTTATCACTATACCACTGTCTCGAAACATTGCTCAAGTTGGAACCTGCAGATCAATTGGCTGAATTTTCGTCAAGAGAATTATTCATGGCATGGCCACGATAACAAACAAATTAATGGCAGCAGGGAGTGAGTGTTGAATAGTCCCACATTGGTTGTGGCAAATGACCTAAGGTATAAGTGGGGGAGCCCCTCACCTCAACGGCTAGCTTTTGGGGTGGGAAATGCGTCCTTTACGATCCTACAGTGAGAACAATATCATCTTTGCTGCTATAGCTAACCTGATATTGTACATTACTTTAGCGAAACCATTCTGTACCGAATTTCTAGACAAACTTATATTTTATTAACATTTCAAATTAAATAACTTGTTGCAAAGTGAGAACATGCAAGTCTTTTTTTATGGGACAATTTGAACCATGCCACACAAATTTTTTTGCAAAATTTGTGATATGCCACCCTGACCCACATGTCATTGACCCATGTGGTTCCTACATGTCATTGAGATACGGGTGGCATATATCAAATTTTGCAAATATAGGGTGGCATGGTTCCAACAAACCCTTTTTTTATTTGATCTTTGTTTAATTAATATAAGAACACATATAATTCTTGAATTTAATTTACTGCTATATAATAATATCATATTCATAAGAATGCTTCATGTTACCGACATCATGGCAAACGTTGTGCACTATTATACTCATAAGTGCAGACTAATGACACTGGGAAAGTTTAGAAATGATTAATGTTTACTATTAATTTACCAGTCGATGTCAATGACGATTACACCGCATGCAAAAGGCCAGATAACTTCCAAATACACTCTTATAATTATAATTATGTATATACTAGAAAATATGGCCGAGCGTTGCAACGGGTGAAAGCTATTTTAATCTTATTATTGTTATACATTTTAGTTAAGGTGAAATTCACTGTGAAAATTAGCTTGGATATATATTTTTTAGAAAATCATGAGCTACAATTAGGAGTCCTATTATCTCATATTAGCATGCGAGTTTTCTTGAAGGGATTTCTTATACGACTCCTTTGTTTCCAAGAGTGAATAAAATTAAAACCTGACTCAAATACGGATCTGTATTTCCAAAAACGAACGAACTTAAAAACCAACTCATACACGGATGATGTACCAAAGTACCAGCAAAAACATCTTCAATTTTTATCATAGTAGAGATATAAGTCATTGACTACAGTTATATAAAATCTTAATTATATATATAACTATTAATAGTTTCATGAAAGTGCTACATACCATAGGACAAAAATCAGCAACAGCATACCTGCAATTTCTACTACATTATTTTAAGACCCTAGTTTCTATGAAGAAAGTCAGCTAGAAAAGCCTTTAAGGAATGAACACTACTGGTCTAAGGCAGCAAGTTTTCCTTCATGTCTGCACTATGCAGTTGTGTAGAACTAAAAATAACTCTATGATTAAAATTCTCAGCCAAATTAAACAGAGAAACATAACACTTTCAATAATTTGTGGTAGATACATGGGATATAGAGGCTATCAGATAATGACAGAAACAGAATCACTCAGCTAGCAGCC